CCTTTGGGGGCGTCTTCGGGGCCTCTTGGCGGTCCCAGGGGCCCCTAGGAGCGTCTTGGGTGCCTTGGGGGAGCCTCTTCGGGCCTCATGGAGCCTCTTGGAGGCCTTTTGGGGCGTCTTGGGGGCCTCTTGGCGGCTCCAGGGGCTTCCAGGAGCGTCTTGGGTGCCTCGGGGGAGCCTCTTGGGGCCTCTATGGGGCCTCTTGGGGGCATCTTGGAGGCCTCTTGGGGCCTCTTGGGGCTCTTTGGGAGGGGTCTGGGAGGAATCTTGGGGCCATCTGTCGGGCGATCGATCCCAGATGGGGCGAGCATTTTTCTCCCTCCCCCCGTCGGGGCCAGAATCCTCGTGAGGGGTGTCGAATTTTAGCCCTCCCAGGAGTCGAACAAGACCCCTCCAACGACCCGCGGGGCGCCCTCTCCAGGCCCAGGGGGAGGGGGTAGGGGGAGGGGTAAACCCCTCCCCGAAGGGGAAGAAGGGGGGTTGAGAACAGGAGAGAGCTCGCTTAAACCACTCACGCCAAAGGGCTGGTGGGATTCTGATCAGATGCAAGCGAAACTCGTAAGGGGCTGAGTCAGCTTCAACCAAGACCATGTTCGGCTCGATGAGGCGGTGTTCTGAAGATTGTTCCGCAATTGCTCCGCAAAGGCGAGCAAGATGAGCAAACGAGCAACGGGCCTGATTCCTCAAGCATATACAAGCGCGGTGCAATGTTTTGTTTTTTGGTGCATGTCTCGAGGGGGGGGGGGGGGGACGCACTTAGGTCCTACGGCATCCAGTTCAGTGAGGTGCCGAACGGCTTGGGCGCCCTGTCCAAGGTGCCAGCCCTGGGCTGGCTGCAGATAATTACCCTCGCTGGCATCACCGAGGTCCAGATCTACAAGGACCCGGTGAAGGGTGAGCCGGGCAACTACGGCGCTGGATTCCTCGGTGTCAAGAGCATCGGCCTCACTAGCAATGGCTTCACGGACCCCGAGTACAGGAAGATGAAGCTGAACGCCGAGCTCGCCAACGGTAGGCTCGCCATGATGGCTATCATCGGGATGTTCTTCCAGGACGGTCTGACAGGGTCCGCGTGGGGCGATTGGGCCCTCTACACCGACTCGCCCTTGCACGCCTTCGAGAGCGAGACCGGGGTGCAGCCGCCCGTGGGCTTCTGGGACCCCCTGGGCTTGTCCAGCGACGGGAGCGCCTTCAACTTCGCCCGCAGGCGGGAGGTCGAGCTGAAGCACGGGCGCGTGTCCATGTTCGCCACCATCGGCTACATTGTCCCCGAGTACTACAAGCTCCCCGGATTCCTGTCCCCGTCCTGCGCTTAGTCGGCTTTCGGAGTTTGCTTTCAGTGTCTCGCGCGTCGATTCTATCAGCCCAGGCCATTGAACGGTAGACTGTGCCATGTAGATATCGAGGGACAAGTAAGGACAACACTACGCCATCAAGCTGCGTGGCTGCGCGGATCCCCCACAGTTCTCGCTCGCCTCGTGTGCCCGAGGAACGGAGGGGGGGGGGGTGGGGCACGGGGGAGCGTCTGTTGTGCGAGGGGGGTCGGCATGGGCCGCGGATCGTTGTATCAGAATTTCTGATCAGATGCAATGCGAAACTCGTAAGTGGCTGAGTCAGCTTCACAAGACCATGTTCGGCTCGATGCGGCGGGGTTCTGAAAGATTGTTCCGCCATGCTCCGCAAGGGAGCAGATGAGCAAACGAGCAACGGCCTGATCCTCAAGCCTGTACAAGCGCGGTGCATGTTTTTGTTTTTTGGTGCATGTCTTCGATACGCACTTAGGTCCTACGGCATCCAGTTCAGTGAGGTGCCTGAACGGCTTGGGCGCCCTGTCCAATGGTTGCCAGCCCTGGGGCTGGCTGTGATCATTACCCTCCGCTGGCATCACCGAGGTCCAGAATCTACAAGACCCGGTGGAAGGGTTGAGCCGGGCAACTACGGCGTTGGATTCCTCGGTGTCAAGGCATCGGCCTTCACTAGAAATGGCTTCACGGAACCCGAGTACAGGAAGTTGAAGCTGGAACGCCGAGCTAGCCAACGGTACGCCTTGCCATGTTGGCTATCATCGGAATGTTCTTAAGGGTACGGTCTGACAGGGTCCGCGTGGGGCGATTGGGCCCTCTACACCGACTCGCCCTTGCGCGCCTTCGAGAGCGAGACCGGGGTGCAGCCGCCCGTGGGCTTCTGGGACCCCCTGGGCTTGTCCAGCGACGGGAGCGCCTTCAACTTCGCCCGCAGGCGGGAGGTCGAGCTGAAGCACGGGCGCGTGTCCATGTTCGCCACCATCGGCTACATTGTCCCCGAGTACTACAAGCTCCCCGGATTCCTGTCCCCGTCCTGCGCTTAGTCGGCTTTCGGAGTTTGCTTTCAGTGTCTCGCGCGTCGATTCTATCAGCCCAGGCCATTGAACGGTAGACTGTGCCATGTAGATGTCGAGGGACAAGTAAGGACAACACTACGCCATCACGCTGCGTGGCTGCGCGGATCCCCCACAGCTCTCGCTCGCCTCGCGTGCCCGAGGAACGAAGGGGGGGGGGCACGGGGGAGCGTCTGTTGTGCGAGGGGGGTCGGCATGGGCCGCGGATCGTTGTATCCGAATTTCTGATCAGATGTAATGCGAAACTCGTAAGTGGCTGAGTCAGCTTCACAAGACCATGTTCGGCTCGATGCGGCGGGGTTCTGAAAGATTGTTCCGCAATGCTCCGCAAGGGAGCAGATGAGCAAACGAGCAACGGCCTGATCCTCAAGCCTGTACAAGCGCGGTGCATGTTTTTGTTTTTTGGTGCATGTCTTCGAGACGCACTTAGGTCCTACGGCATCCAGTTCAGTGAGGTGCCGAACGGCTTGGGCGCCCTGTCCAAGGTGCCAGCCCTGGGCTGGCTGCAGATCATTACCCTCGCTGGCATCACCGAGGTCCAGATCTACAAGGACCCGGTGAAGGGTGAGCCGGGCAATTACGGCGCTGGATTCCTCGGTGTCAAGAGCATCGGCCTCACTAGCAATGGCTTCACGGACCCCGAGTACAGGAAGATGAAGCTGAACGCCGAGCTCGCCAACGGTAGGCTCGCCATGATGGCTATCATCGGGATGTTCTTCCAGGACGGTCTGACAGGGTCCGCGTGGGGCGATTGGGCCCTCTACACCGACTCGCCCTTGCGCGCCTTCGAGAGCGAGACCGGGGTGCAGCCGCCCGTGGGCTTCTGGGACCCCCTGGGCTTGTCCAGCGACGGGAGCGCCTTCAACTTCGCCCGCAGGCGGGAGGTCGAGCTGAAGCACGGGCGCGTGTCCATGTTCGCCACCATCGGCTACATTGTCCCCGAGTACTACAAGCTCCCCGGATTCCTGTCCCCGTCCTGCGCTTAGTCGGCTTTCGGAGTTTGCTTTCAGTGTCTCGCGCGTCGATTCTATCAGCCCAGGCCATTGAACGGTAGACTGTGCCATGTAGATGTCGAGGGACAAGTAAGGACAACACTACGCCATCACGCTGCGTGGCTGCGCGGATCCCCCACAGCTCTCGCTCGCCTCGCGTGCCCGAGGAACGAAGGGGGGGGGGCACGGGGGAGCGTCTGTTGTGCGAGGGGGGTCGGCATGGGCCGCGGATCGTTGTATCCGAATTTCTGATCAGATGTAATGCGAAACTCGTAAGTGGCTGAGTCAGCTTCACAAGACCATGTTCGGCTCGATGCGGCGGGGTTCTGAAAGATTGTTCCGCAATGCTCCGCAAGGGAGCAGATGAGCAAACGAGCAACGGCCTGATCCTCAAGCCTGTACAAGCGCGGTGCATGTTTTTGTTTTTGGTGCATGTCTTCGAGACGCACTTAGGTCCTACGGCATCCAGTTCAGTGAGGTGCCGAACGGCTTGGGCGCCCTGTCCAAGGTGCCAGCCCTGGGCTGGCTGCAGATCATTACCCTCGCTGGCATCACCGAGGTCCAGATCTACAAGGACCCGGTGAAGGGTGAGCCGGGCAATTACGGCGCTGGATTCCTCGGTGTCAAGAGCATCGGCCTCACTAGCAATGGCTTCACGGACCCCGAGTACAGGAAGATGAAGCTGAACGCCGAGCTCGCCAACGGTAGGCTCGCCATGATGGCTATCATCGGGATGTTCTTCCAGGACGGTCTGACAGGGTCCGCGTGGGGCGATTGGGCCCTCTACACCGACTCGCCCTTGCGCGCCTTCGAGAGCGAGACCGGGGTGCAGCCGCCCGTGGGCTTCTGGGACCCCCTGGGCTTGTCCAGCGACGGGAGCGCCTTCAACTTCGCCCGCAGGCGGGAGGTCGAGCTGAAGCACGGGCGCGTGTCCATGTTCGCCACCATCGGCTACATTGTCCCCGAGTACTACAAGCTCCCCGGATTCCTGTCCCCGTCCTGCGCTTAGTCGGCTTTCGGAGTTTGCTTTCAGTGTCTCGCGCGTCGATTCTATCAGCCCAGGCCATTGAACGGTAGACTGTGCCATGTAGATATCGAGGGACAAGTAAGGACAACACTACGCCATCACGCTGCGTGGCTGCGCGGATCCCCCACAGCTCTCGCTCGCCTCGCGTGCCCGAGGAACGGAGGGGGGGGGGGCACGGGGGAGCGTCTGTTGTGCGAGGGGGGTCGGCATGGGCCGCGGATCGTTGTATCCGAATTTCTGATCAGATGCAATGCGAAACTCGTAAGTGGCTGAGTCAGCTTCACAAGACCATGTTCGGCTCGATGCGGCGGGGTTCTGAAAGATTGTTCCGCAATGCTCCGCAAGGGAGCAGATGAGCAAACGAGCAACGGCCTGATCCTCAAGCCTGTACAAGCGCGGTGCATGTTTTTGTTTTTTGGTGCATGTCTTCGAGACGCACTTAGGTCCTACGGCATCCAGTTCAGTGAGGTGCCGAACGGCTTGGGCGCCCTGTCCAAGGTGCCAGCCCTGGGCTGGCTGCAGATCATTACCCTCGCTGGCATCACCGAGGTCCAGATCTACAAGGACCCGGTGAAGGGTGAGCCGGGCAATTACGGCGCTGGATTCCTCGGTGTCAAGAGCATCGGCCTCACTAGCAATGGCTTCACGGACCCCGAGTACAGGAAGATGAAGCTGAACGCCGAGCTCGCCAACGGCAGGCTCGCCATGATGGCTATCATCGGGATGTTCTTCCAGGACTGTCTGACCTGGTCCGAGGGGAATTGACAGTTTTTAACATCCACTTCGTCGGCGTTGGTGTTTGGACTCTGTATACGCTGTCTTCTTTAGGGTCAGGCGATGCGCAGGCGTAGTTTGTCATAGGGGAAGCTCGAAGTAGATGCACCTCGTATGTACAGTGCGAAAGCATGTCGCCCCACCCTTCGCTGCTTCCTGGTTTTGCAGGCCCTACTTTCTTGGACAACACCGCATTGTCCCAGCGGGGCCGCGAGGTTTCCCATTTGAGGCACCGGCCTTCGTAAATGGCATGATCAGGTCCCCTGCGATCGTGCCGAAGACCCCAGGAACCCTTGACTTCCTTCTTCGCCTTCGCCCGGACCCGTCTCTTATCGGGGGAGCGTAAGACCCGGGTTTGCCAGGACTCGGGTTCGCCATCGTTTTTTGACGACCGCGCCTCGGATTTTGACGAGGAGGAGTTTCGTTGGATGTCTGCAGCGGGAGGCCTCGTCAAAATGCAGGCTCGGCCTCGTCATTTTTTTGACGACCTCGTCGGGGATTTCCGAGTCCCCCGTACCCGGGTCTTACGTCTCCCCGTCTCTTAGTTCAGTATTCCGATTCGCAGCCTCCTGCCCCCAATGCCCCCGCGTCTTGGCGTGGCTCACACGCCGAAGGGGCTCAGACAGAAGCCCGCGGTCGTCCGAAGATTCCGGGCCTCGCGAAGAGTTTCACAAACTGGAGCGGGCTGCGATGTCGTCCTCGGGGCGCCGTTCCCAGGGCCCAGAAGGGTCGGACATCGGCCCGTGGCGAAAAGCCAGACTTATGTCGTGCCTGTCCCTCTACAGGAGGAATATTCAGAAATAGTCAAGAAATAGTATGGGGACGATTTTTGAGTATTTCTGAGCTATGTTTGAACATTTTTTCAGTATCTTTATCTTTCGTCCAAGATCCGCCTGTAGGGGGACATGCCCGACCTAAAGCCAGACGATGATGATGTCTATGTCGGTGATGAAGGTGGTTCATTTCACCAAGCGCGTTCCACTACTCGCAAAGTGCCTAGTCGCAAGCGTCAGAAAATCAGACGCCCGAGAAATTAGACGTCTGCCTTGGTGTGATGGATCGTGAATCCCCCGCGGCGGATCTGGTCCGTTTGCGAGCACTTACTTCGCGAGTAGTGGATCGCGCTCGTCTATACTTCATGATGGTAGCAACGGCGGCGATCGTTGATGTCGAAACGGGCGGTGATGCGGCGGCGCCGAGGAGGGTGATGGTGGGGAAGCGCGCCCGCGCGCCCGGACGTGCAAGACATGTGGCCGACGTATTTTGCCAGGATCAGCAGGTGCTGTTGGAGGTTCCTGAAAAGGTGTGTGGTGAGATGCTTCGAGCACCCAGAGTTTCGGCGGCATTGCGACGCGCGCGCGTGGCGGCGCGCGCGCGCGGCCCGCACGGGATCGATTGACACGGGCTCGTGCTCGGGGCGCATGCACCGGGCGAGATTGGTAGAGCCGTGAGGTTGTACCACGATCTCAGCAACTGCGCGCGGGCAGAGCCTATGCAATATTTGTGATGGAGCACCTCAGCATGTTTGATGCTTTCATCTTGCAATCCTTGCAGACCTTGCGTGTTTGGTATGATTTCGACATGTGCGCGCGCGTGTGGACTCTGTGAATGTTCTTTTGTAAGGGGCTTTGGCGATAAACGAGTGCGTGCGCATAGTAGCACTTGACAGGGATGAGGGTGGAACGAGAATCGGTCGCCTCGAAAGGTCCACGCTCATAGGGAAAATCAAGGATGGGGCAGACTGTTTCGTAATTTGGAGTGTCCCACGGAGTGGGACGGGGGAACCTTTCTTTTTGAAAGGACAAGGACATAGTGTTTGGTAGTGAGTTGTCAATGCCACTGCTCGTGCATCCATCCCACTATCCAACCCGCAACTTGCTTTGCACAACGCGTGTGGCCGTGATTGTGGTGACTCTTTAACGCAGATTGGTGCATCCTTGCGGCTGCGCTACCACTGGGTGGCCAGTTGGTTTGGCACAGCCGAAGTGCGCGCGGGCACTTCAAAGCTGGTCGGTGGTTCGGGCAGGCGCCGTATCATGATGACGTCGACAACTGCGGCATCGATGATGATAGTAGTGATGGTGCTGGCGATGGTCACAGTGTCGACGGCAAGGCCAATGACGACGCCGGCGTTGGTTACGACATTGATGACGATGATGATATCCATGCGTCGGTGATTATGGTGTGTCAGTGATGATGGCGGCAACGGCGGTGCCTGACGGTGACTATGAAGTGACGCGACTGTGCTCTTGAGCGTGATGGTGCGGAAGTGCGCGCGCGGAGATTCAAGAAATTTGGCCGGTCTTGTTGGAGTCAGTTGGATTTTACACGTTAGCGAAGAGCTCGATTTTGAAACGAGTCGAGCAACAGTTGTTTGGGACGGACTTCGATGCGCGTGGTATCGGCTTCGTGCGCTGGGCGCATGCTGGTTCACCGCGGGTGCATCGCCTAGTGCGATGAAGACGCGGGTTCTGGGCGATATTGCTAGAATAAGATGGTTGTCCCACGATTGCAGCAAAGGAGCGGGCGCAACTCTCAAAGTTCTGCCCTTAGGAGCCTATGGGTATTTGATATTTTCTGTTGGCATGATTGCATCATAGTGTGTTTGATATGACGTTGGCATGTTCCTGCGCATGTTGACTTTTATGCACTTTCGCAACGGGTTCTTAACACATTGTCTTGTGCGATAAGCGCGTGCACGAGCCTAGCATTATTTGTCAGGGATGAGGGGGAAGATGATACAGGTCGGCCTGGGATAGTATGAATTCTTCACGCCTTTCGTATCCCCACCAGCCCATTCAGAAACGTTGTCCATGAGAGGCGATGGGGAACGGGAGGAAGCGACACACATAGTGAAACGAAGCGGGCAAGGAGAGGAGGGTGAGGAGCGTATTGAACAATCTTGGACGTCGTTTTGGATCATCGGAGGCAGGAAGAGGACGACAGAGAGGACAAGAACTCGTTGAGACATCTTGGGGCCCTCTGGGGGAACTCTTCGGGTTTGCGTTGGGTCCTCTTGGGGCCTTCTTGGGGCTCTTATGGAAGGCCCTGGGCTGGGGTCCATAGGGCTCTGTCGAGGTGTCTTGGGGCTCTTTTGGGGCCCTCTTGTGGCTTTTTTGGGCCCTTCTTGGGGGCCCCGTCATGGCTGTTGGGGCAATCTTGCAGGGCGTCGATCAGAGGGCCACCCTCGATTTGCCTCCACCCTCGAGGGCCATCAAAATCGCCTCTTGGGGCGCTCTTGGGTCCATATTGGGCGCTTTGGGAGCCGTTTTGAGAGCCTAGTGGGCCCCTGTTGGGGCTATCTTGAGGCCCCAGAAGCCCATCCGAAGCCAAAGGCGAACCGGCACAACTAATGTATTGCCTTAGCTTTTGCAAGTGCTTTGAGTGGTGCCCAGCTGTCAGCGCCGCCGCGGCCGCGTCGGTCGCGCCAAACTGTCTGGCCGCCGTGCGCGCGAACACGCGGGGGCCAGCGCGGTCGCACAGATGCACCAACAAACTCCCGGCATTCATCGAAATTGCTGCTGCATGGCTTCTGCAAGCCAAGGACGGGTGGGATGATTGCGTGAACAGTGGGGTGGACAACTCGTTGCGAACATACATTCATTGCACAGCACAGATTGCACCACGTGGGTTGCACCATATAGGTTGCCCCCCACACAGACTGTACACCACAGATTGTACACCATATCTCACACCACATCGAGTACACCATTCCGACTGCGCCGCATATATTGCACCACGCAGATTGCATCGCACAGGCTGCACCATATTAATTGCACCACGTCGATTGCACCGCATGGATTGCGCGCCACATATGTTGCACAACATATAGTTTCCACCGCCTATGTTGAACAGCATAGCTAGATCACATCTACTTTTCCACAACAACTGTACAACCTGTAGGCTGCACAGCATCTATTGCGCAACCTTTTTTATTGCACCATGTGTATTTAATCGCATGCTTGCCACACTTCGATCGCATAGATTATGATGTTAGAAACACACTGGTTGGGGTCCACGCTGGCTCACAGATCTACACACGCATAAACTATGAAGAGCTATGGCTATCGATCGATGTGTACATCGATATAGGTTGATCCATGGATGGATAGGGTCGTTCCGATGCTCGTCCCGTCTTTGGTTCCCCAACGCACACACACACACAGCTTTCCACATCGGCCTCTGGCCCGTCTTTTCGGTATGCAGCTCGTGTGGTCTTCGGCCCATCCCGCCACCGCGCTTGGGTTGTAGATCAGATGCTTCTTCGATGTCTGCGCGGATGCCTCTCGGACCCCCCTGGAAGCTTCTTGGGGGCGGTCCTTGGGAGGTGCCTTGGGGGGCCGGCCTGCGGGGCCTCTTGACGGCCCCCTTGTGCCTGAGTTGTCTCTCTTGTGGGTCGCCTGGGGTTTCTGGGGGGCCCCTTTTGGGGCCTGCTAGCGGCCCCGCGGGTCGTCGTGGGGCGGAGAGTGCGAAATGTCAGTTTGAATTTCCCTTTTGGGGTCCTTCTAGGGCCTTGGCCTTCTTGGGTTTCACTTGAGCCGTTTAGGGGGTCCTCTTGGGGCCATTTTGAATCCCGCTTGGGCTGTTTGGGGGCCCTCATGGTCCGTCTGGCGGCCCTCTTGGCGGCTTCGGGGGGCGATCTTGGAGGCTTTTTGGGCCGTCATGGAGCGTCGGAAGCTTGAAAAGGCGAGAATTCTCGAATCCTTTTAAACACTTAAGGGGTCCTCGGTTTCTCGGGGTCCTTCACACAGTGACGTTGGGTTCTCGGGGCCCTCTTGGGGGGCGTTGTGAGTTGTGGGGGAGGCATCGTGGGCAGTCTTGGGGCCTTCTGGGGCCTTCTCGGGGTGTTTCGGGCCCTATCGGTTGTTTCTCGGGAAAACTTGGGGTGTTATTCGGGTCGTTTTGGGCGGGGTCACCGTCCTGGAGGCCATCGCGACAAACCCCAGGAGCGCCCAGCAATCCTGGAATGTTGTGGCCCTGGCATTTGAAACCTCACAATGCCCTTATCAAGCTCTCAGAAGGGCAGAGGCCTGAGGGAGAGAGATAGAGAGAGCAGCTTGAGTAAGGAACACTTACTTTTCAAAAGGGGCTCGGTCGTTCCTTAGGTTTGCCTGCGTTATTTACAGTTCCTTATGCGTTATTTGTTATTTATCGTTCCTTATGCGTTATCCCTTGGGATAAAAAAGAGGCTTCGTTCCTTATTTATCGTTCCTTAGGTCAGGCCGATGACTGTAGAGAGAGCAGTGGCACCACGCGGGGCTTGCGCGCCCTCCTCACGCTCCACTGACGTGAGATCTGCCGAGTGTTTGCCAACATTATGTCCCTCGACTATCTTCACTGCTGCCCCTTGAGAGCCCGATGGGGGTACTGAATCGCTGCGGCGGCCGAGTGGGCCCTGGGAACGACAGGGCCTTTTTTGTTACCGGCTCCGTTTTGCCGTTTCTGTTGCCCGTTCCGACGCCGTTATGTCACTGGCTCCGTCGCCGTTATGTTACCGGCTCTGTTCTGCCGTTTTTGTTGCCCGTTCCGACGCCGTTTCGTTATTGACTCCGTCGCCGTTTTTTACTGCTTCCGGCCCCGGAGCTGGTTTCATGTCGCTTCCGGTCGCCGTTTTTGTTGCCGCTTCCCTGTTCAAGAGATTTTTTTCGGAAGCAGAACAAAAAAACAAAACGGCCCCGCCGTTCCTCGGGCCCACGAAGTGCGGCGGCCCCCGCCCCGGTCCTGGAGACCGCCTCGGCGGACGAAACGTCGGGGTTGGACAGAACCCCCCCCCTGACACGTCGAGGAGTGAGTTGTCCGCTTTGGGCTCTCGCGAGGGCGCCGCGGCCATCGTTCTCCAGGCTTGCGCCCGCCAGGTTTGGGCCCGAGGTCGTTTTCACTAAACCACGTTTTGCTCAAAGGGGTTAGGAGGAGGAGGAGGAGGAGGAGGAGGAGGAGGAGGAGGAGGAGGAGGAGGAGGAGGAGGAGGAGGAGGGAGGAGGGAGGAGGAGGAGGAGGAGGAGGAGGAGGAGGAGGAGGAGGAGGAGGGAGGAGGAGGATTTGTGTCCATCCCCAAAAAAGGTTAGGGTTATGCTGGCCCTGCCGCCTTCGCGTGCTCCCGCTTGGCCCGAGGACGGCCTGACGGGCTCCGCCTGGGGCGACTGGGCCCTCTACACCGACTCGCCGCTGCGCTGAGGGGCTACACGCGCGCCAGCGGGGACGGGAACAAGGAGGAGGGATGGGGAACGGGTAAGGGGAGAGGAGGGGGGGGGACGAGGGCGAGGAGGAGGAGGAGGAGGAGGCGGAGGGGGGCACCTCCTGCTTGTCTTCCTGCTGCTCCTCTCGCTCATCTCCCTCTCTCCCCCTCTGTCTCTAATACTTCCCCAACCCTGGGAAGCAATGATCGCCCCTCAGTGCGGGATCCAACCAAGATCTTAGTAGGATTCCAGCAAGACCCAGTCGGATTCTAATGAGAGCCAAAGAGGGTTGTAACATGAACCCATTCAGATCCAACACAATCCCAATAGGGCTCCGACAGGCCTCTCTTGGGCTGCCTTACGCCTTTTATTATCACCCCCCGCGCGGAGTTGATAAACTATTTCTCGTGGTGCTAACGATATCGCTCGGCTTCCCTCCTCTTTCAATGCTGCGCGTGCTGTAATGGGCAGAGTGATGAGATGCAAGGAGGTGGGGGGACAAGGTGGGAAGAAAGAGGTTGAAGGGAGCAAGGAGGAGGAGGAGGAGGAGGCGGAATGGACGATGAAGGGGCATGGAGGAAGACGGTGGAGGAACGAGGAGAAGAGGGAATGGTCATCGTCGTCGCATGTGGTCCCCAAAACAGTGTAAAACACTATCTTCAATCATGCTTGGAGGCTTCGGCTTCCAAGTGACCATGTGATCACCGTCCCTGTGGCGATTCCGTTATCCAGGTCGGATTAAACGAATCCAAAACAGCTCAGCATTAGCTGACTCTGCTCCGTGTTGCTCGGAAAAGCCGCTGGGTCAGCATAAGCCCCAGGCGGTTCGTGCACATCCCTTTCGGGGGGTCGCAGCCGGCGGCGGCTCCCAAGCGCAACGGAGCTTGCGGACCGCACATCTGCCGATTCCAACGGGGGGCCCAAAAGTGCAGATCCTTCGTGCGAGCCTTGGTGCTAGGGAACCTGCCATCGGCACGTCGCCACTTTTGCTCATGATAGTGCGGCCTTGCCTGAGCCCCGCGGCATGCCCCCTGCATTTCAGCATCCGCGATACTTCGATACACCCTTCTCTCCCGGATCCCTTCATGACAAGTCCCTGCCGACATATTGGGAAGGCTATAGCGGCCGGTGCCGCCGACCCGTAAGGGGGACGGCGACGACGGCGGCGGCGGCGGCGACGACGACGACGCTGACGCCCTGGAGCCTTTCTGGGGCTCGGGCTCGGGCTGGGGCCGCGGCTGGGGCCAGGACCAGGGCGGGGACCGGGGCTGGACCCGCGGCGCCGGGGCCTGGGCCCGGGCTGCGGCCCCGCGGGCTGGGCCGTGTCCGGGTCCGGGGCCGGGGCCAGAGCGGGGGCCGGGGCCGGGGGGGCGGAGCGCGGGCCGGGGCGCGGGGGGAAAACGTAGTTGGGTGGCGACCTTCCTTGTGAACCCCCGGGGACCCCTTCCCCTGCGCGGGGAAGGGATCAAAGGGAAGGGGTGTCCCTTCGATTCCACTCCGATGGTCTTCAATTTTGCTTTGGACGCCGCGTATGAGGAAGAGGGCGAAGGCAAATGGAATAGAGGAGGACGGAGACGACGACTCCAACGGAAAAGCCCGACTCGAACGAAGAAACCCGTCACACACGCCGACAGGGTCGGCGGACTTTCTCACTGCGAGCCCCCCCCTTGAAAGATGAGAGCTCCATGTGCTTGTCACTCAAGCGGAGGAAGCCCCGTTTTGACAGAGAACCGCCCCTCCATCCGTCCAGGTATGAGAGATGCCACGGGATAGGACCAGAAAGCTGAAAGTCATGTGCAGCGAGAGTTCCATTTTGAGCAGGGGTACCCCGTACGTGTCCTTGCTGCACGCGCGTTTGTGTGCGGCTATAAGGATGGGGAGGTCTCTGGAAAGAGCCCTATTTTGAGAATGAGCCGCCCTTCGTGGGGAAGAGTCGGGATGGGAGGGCGCCTTCCCTCACTATGTTCCTGGCCCTTCACCACTGCAACAGTGCTGGTCTGATCATTGCGTTTCAGATGGGTGACACGAGGCGATTGGGAACGCTTAGTTCATAGTGCGAGATTAATATGTTTTCCTTGGTTTCCATTGGATGCAAGTTGTTCGCTGCAGTTCTCCTCAACGGACGCAAGATCGGATGAACAAAACAGGGGGTTGGAGTACCCAGCTTGGTTTCAGGAGTAAGTGTGTCACAGCGGATGCGATGTTCCTTGTCCGCTGGTTGACGGAGAAGACGCGGGCAGAACAAAAACGGGGTTGGTGCGCCTGGCCCTTGATCGGGCCAAGGCATTCAGTAGCGTCTCACCAGATGCCTTATGCCAAGCCCTACGAACATTCGGCATCCCCGCGGACTTCATCAGCGTGGTAAGAAGCGATCTTCACGGACAGGACACTCGAGGCCCGTGCCGCGGGGCTTGCGCCTAGCTCTCGTCGCAGAGCCTCAGAACCAGCCAGGGCTGCCCTTTTGTCTCCGCCCGTGCTCGTGGCTGCATTGCTCGATTTTCGCCACGACGCGACGCGGGCGGCGGCGCCCCACCTGGATTCGATGCAGCAGGTGCAGGAGCTGGTATATGGAAGCAGGGCTGGACCTTGACGGTGTTTCGACTCCGCTCTGCGGTGGAGGCGGATTCGAGACAAAAGCGAGGGAAAACGAAGACAAAACGAAAACGAACAACACCGTTTAGGTTCAGCCCTGTGTGGTATACGCAGAAGAAACGCTGCCCATGGCCACCACGGCCGAGGAGGCCGCAGGGTAGGGTTACGCGCTGCGCGCAGCGAGGCGGACAGCAGAACGGAGTGCAGCTCGCACGCCGGAGCAATGGAGAGTTCTGCCGGCGGTGTGCGACACGCGCATCCTGAAGCCAGACGGGGATACAGTAGGCCCGGGTGAGTAGGTCGATCCTGCCAGCTCAAGGGTACCCTTGTGTCCTGTGCCTCGCGACACGTGTCTTCTTACA